CCCAGAGGGTAGGGAGAAATGGAGGCTCTCAGCACGAGCAGGAGCGTCAGGAGGAGGACTCGGAGATCAGAGACTTAGTAAAGGTGACAAGTATTGGGTGGAGGTGAATGAAGAATGCCCAGAGGGTAGGGAGAAATGGAGGCTCTCAGCANCGGAGATGAGAGACTTAGTAAAGGTGACAAGTATTGGGTGGAGGTGAATGAAGAATGCCCAGAGGGTAGGGAGAAATGGAGGCTCTCAGCAGGAGACATATGGATAAAACCGGGAAGTCAAACCGAAAAGTATCAGGAGAATGAAGAGGAGGAGGAGGAGGAAGAGAGAACAGCATGGCATCTCTCTTCAGGCCTGGCCTACTATGATTTTTTGCAGTCCCAGTTATGAGCTACTTGGGGTTGGGCATTGGCATGCCAAAGTTGCAAAGTGTTTGTTGCACGCCCTTGCTTGAAATTCTCTTGAATCATTTTTTTAACTTCACAGAAGCCAATGACGAAGTCCGATAGCTCCATTAACATGGCTCGCATCTAAATTTCAACAAGTCACGAGGACACTCAAATGTTCTGAGAATTGGACAGATAAGCAGCTGAGAGTTGAACCCATCCCGAGTTTTCGGGTCCAGTATGTCGCAAGAGGGGAGAGAGGTGGTGGGGGAGGGGGGGTAGAGGAGGGAGAAGCAATTGTGATGTGAACGGCTGACGCAATGAGCGAAAGGAGAAAGCAAGCAAACACATCCAGAGAAACTACTACTGGAAATACCAACCAGGTAAAAGGTTGAACGGAGGATGCGCCAACCATATCTTAAAAGAAAAAAAGACAAAAGGTGGCAGCAACTTGACCATGCTGAAGGGGTTGTCAAACACTTGATGAATGCTGACTGGAGGGAGCAGTAAACGGTTCCATGGCAATCATAGGCCACATCAAATTTCTTTGTTTTGTACACAGAAGCATGCAAGAACTTGCTATAAAGACATGAATTTGATGGTGACAATCAATCACAGTGATGCCACGTCCTTGCACTTCGTACCTTCTTGCTGCCTGCGATTTTTTGCAAGCCTTCAACCAATTCATCAAGATTAGTGATTCGGCGGCGATGAGTGCGCTTGACTACCAATATGGTTCCTTGTCCTAAGGGCAAATAGTTTGGGTACCTGCAACTCAGAATGGGGGCAAAGAAGCACAGGGTCAGAACCTTGGAGGCAAGGATTGGCAACTTGAAGAAGGTGCAAGTCATCTTAAGGCCAGGGCAGTCTGAAGGACTATGTATCTTGACAGAGAAAAATATTATCCATACCAGCAGCTGTCGTGCAGATGCAAAGGCCGACCACTATGATTGAAGAAAGCACGGAAAACCAAAGGCAGAGAGTAGTAGGGAAAAGTAGGCGTGCCTTTCCTCTTTCCTCAACGGGAAGGTATATTATCTACTAAATAAGCCGGGCCCCGGAAGACACTACCCCTGGGCCCAGGGAAAATGAGGCCCGGACGTCGGTTGGATGGAACAGACGTAGTGCCCTGTTTCGTATGTTTTTTTCTTTTGGGTGGGCGGGCCTGCGTGTTCGTATGTTTTTTCCTTTTGGGTGTGCGGGCCCGCGCGTTCGTAGGTTTTTTCCCGGGGGCGCTTGGTACAGTTGGTGTTGGCACGGCTTTATGAACGGTTTTTTTTTTCACTGCGGGTTTGTTTCGTGCCGCGCCGTCGATTACAGAAAACTTTGTCCGGCAGGTGTCGGACATATTCAACCAGGTAGTGTATATTTCCATGTTCTAGCGGAAGATTCATTCGATTTTGCTCATCCTATCGATGGAAGTAGGGTGAGGCCAGCCGCGAGGTTGGAGACTTACCTGTTCTCTCTGCAAGGAGCCCGACTGTTCATCACTTGCTGGAGTGCATCAGATCACATGCATATGCACTGATTTCACAGATTGCGAAGTCTCACACAAAACCCAATAGAAGATGAATGAGAACCAGGAAGCTCAACTCAGTTATCATGACCAGATTAAGCGAGGAAATTCGTGAGTCCAAAATGCATAGCGCTGAACAGAGTTACAAGTCTTTCGATCAACATGAGTTCCAAGCCTGGCGCTCATCAGCGCCAGCTGCCAAACGTCAACAACAGCGCTCAGCAGGTAAGTGTCACCATAGATCACACTTCCCCCTCTCGTCTGCCTTCTTCTCTCTCTCCCTCTATGTCGATAGTCCTGGTCTACCCTCACTCATCGTGCATGCACACTCCCTATCACACGAGGATCTACTTTGAATACTACTCACTGGTGTCTCCTACTGACTATCCCTACTAACATACTAACTAGTACTGGTGCAGCTATGGCTGCCCTTCTTCCAGCCAGCGCTCTTCTTCCTTTCTTCACACGTAGCGCTGCTCTCAGCCTAGCGCAGCTCACGCATATCTAGTGCACAAGTGCCACGGCACTTCCACACTCTCATGCGAAGTGAGCATCTGCCAAATGGGAGGCTGGCCAGTCCTTTATAGTGCTGGACTGGTCTGGCGTGGCCTGCGTTCAGCCTCAAGTGTGCTTGGGACTCCTGCCCAGTACCTTCTGTTGCAAAGTGTGTGTCCCAGTATCTTTTCCCATGGTCTGCTGCTGCTTTGGGCCATCGGGCCTGTCCTTTGGACTCCTGGTCTGAATCAGGACTGACTCGTGGGACTATGACTGAACTGGGACTGTGGCCTTTGACTCATTGCCGAACAGACATGACGTTCCATCGAGGAGACATGACCCTAACTCAGTCTAGAAAACTGTGTCCAATACCTGTTCGTGCAGGAACGACTTTTCATTTCATTATGCATGCGACATTTGCCTCACCAACTTTGTCTTTTGGGTTGCAGCTCGTGAATTTAAGTTCTGGTTGACAGGGCCGCTCGCTGTTGGGTTACTCATCTGGGGTCTAATTTGTAAAGGCCATTTTACTCTCGCCGGCCTAATTTCGAAGTCCTCTGAGAAACCCTTATCTGTCCACAATATTGAGACCTCTTCTTGCTCTTTCATAGTAAGATACTATGTTTGGTGCAGTTTCAGTTAGCTCTTCTCTAGTAAACCAGCGGTCTTCACTTGGATCTTGATATGCAAATCTGACTTTATATTGCCGCTGAGTTCTACCTCTGTGTCCAGGGTTGTGCTAGTAAATCTCACAAGTATCGCTCGTTCCTTTGCATCCCTGACGGCTTCACGACCAGCTTACCCGGAAGACACACCCGTCTTCAATCTGTCTCTTCGCAGCTCGAAGTTTCACCCTCGAATGGTCAATAATAACATCGGACTCACCATACTCCATCCGCGCCTTCTTCCAGGAGTCAATCCAGACCTCCCCTGGTTCAGAATGCAGTTTAATGTCACCCTTCGTCCCCTCCAATCCCTTGAACAATTGAAGTAAAGACGCCCACTTTCAGCTTTCACGTATAAACGTAATAATCCCTTGTGGGGATACGTCCTTCTTCCTTTCGCTTCATCCTTGTCCTAGTATGTCCTCGCCCAAGCGTATTCAGAGACGGTGAGAATCTTGCAATCAAGGAGCGGCTCAGCTGCCTGGGCATCCCCAACGTCAGTCACCAGCGGTATAACGACGTAGTTCTTCCATTCAAAAAAGCGAAGCCAGGAGTGCAGCCTAGGTGCGTTGCCCACATTTCCCAATCTCGCGTACCTCACGTGTTCCGACCACCTGGTCACAATTCGCCTCACGGTACAGCCGACGTAGAACCTTCGGCATCACGGGCTTACTACAGCATACACACCCGACTCATTCGCATTGATCTGCATGGGATCAATGAAGCGTAGAAGCTTCCTAATCCATGGAAGGAAGCCATGCACTGTCAGCAGCAAAACAAGCAGAGTAAGGACATTCTCATCATCCGACACAAGCAGTGGAAACATGTCACCCGCGCCTCTCAAGGTCCTCTTCACAATCAATTGCTTGAACCAAATTGCAGCAGCGCGCGTAGCTACGTCGTCACTGATAATTCTTCAAGACCGCCCCCCGCAGTTTTCTTCGTTGCAGGCGTAGTCTGGCTCCTCCCTTCGAAGAAGCCTTCGTACGCAAGTCGATTACGGCAGCGGACAATCTCAGCAACGGCTTGATCCTTCACCACGTAATCCACGCCCTCACGATCGCAGATTTTCCTAATCTCGCCATCCTTCAGAGCACTAAGAATCCTTGATTGATTGAGAGCATATTCAACCATGCCCTCGCCTGATCCATCCATCGGACATACCTTCTTAGGAGTCTCAAATTCCTCCTCATTCACCAGTACCACCGGCACCCGTGCCTTTGTATTCTTCGGACTGGGGTTCTTCTTCACGCCTTGTCCTGCCGTTGCCTTCAGAGTAGCAACTGGCTTCTTCTTGCAAAATTTATTCCTCTTCTCCAGAGGGGCAATTAATTTCTCCCCCGCCTCCTTTCCTTCTTCACTATCATCTTCAGACTCGGCAATGTAGCTCCTAATCTCTCTCAGCACTCGATCCTTCGAACGCGGAGATCTTTTTTTCGCCTCAGTAATGGTCGCAGGAGCTGGAGCGATCATAACAGGTTCTATCCTCTGGGAGAGAATTCGTACGGTTGTCGCCTCCAGTCGCGCCTCTCTCACCTCTTCCTCCCGCAGCTTATCACCCTCCCTTCTCTCCTCCTCCTCCCTCTTCTTAGCTTCCTCTACCTCGTGTTTCCTCTTCTCCTCCTCTTCTTTCTCTCTCTTTGCTATCCTCTGCAGGAGTTCCCTCATCTCAGTATTTCCCTCTTCAGGCTTCTGTCTGCTAAGTGCCTGTTTTTTTGCCACATATATAGCATTGAACAGCCCCCATATGACGCTGCAGGTATATTGCCCGGCGACGCCAATTCGGGCCTCCCATAGCCTGGGCCCCTGTATTCTGTCCCGCCATCATCGGATTCACGGCCTGACCTCCGAATCCTGGATTAATCATACCCACCCCGGCCACTCCCGGCGTCTTCACGACTCACCAACACTGACCCGTAAGGATGAATATCGCCCGATGTATCAACAAACAGATCCGATCGTAATCGCGAAGTACTTCGCTCATCAATGGAACCACCTTCATTTTATACCTGCATGATGCACACCGAGCAGCCGATACCAGCGGTGCGAGTATCACTTGGTATAACGTCGCCAGTAAACGTTCACTCTGGTGCAGGTAGTCAATTACGCTTCTTCTCACCGTCACACTATGCCTACCAGGGACTGCCATACACCAGATGATGCTACCAATCAGATGCTTCACGATTATACAGAGTCTCCTCAACCCACACAGAAGATACACCGTGTTCTACGGCGCCATTCTTTCTTTTTCTTTTTTTTTTTTAAACAGGGCCTTATGGTCCTGGCTCCTTCTATTCTGGGGAGCGTCAGTCCGGTTCCTATTCTACCGGCAAGTCAACGTACCATACAACCACTCGCTCATGCTTCCTTCTGTTCGGCCGAAGGAACCCTGGACAGCATTGATTACTCCATCTTGGTGGAGGATTGACTGCCAGCTTGCCACTCCCCTCTCTTCCCTCTCAGACCTACTGTCCAGGTCTGCCAGATATTTCTCTATAAGCTAGAAAGAGCTCAATCTACTGTCCCGTGCCTTCTCCCTGTCCCTGTGTGTGGTGTCCTCAGACCCTTTTAGCCGCCCCTGTCGTTCCTTTCACATTCCCTAGCCCTTAAACCCTAAGCCCTCTGGTGTATGCCTAGAGCTTCATCCTTTTAACTCCGGTCGCCCTTGTTACCGCCGACGTATTGATTAAACTCTTGTAACCCTTGCCCTTCCTTTCTCGAAACTGTATCTTGGAACCGCTATCTTGCCATCTACTAGGTACCTCCACCCTTAAACCCTTAACCCTCGTTTCCTAAATGTTTTGTTTCCCTTCTCCTTTCTCCGAGTGAACCTTTGATCTTTATCCCCTCATATCCAGTCATACTTTCCGACCTCGATTAACCTTCCCGCGGACGGTTGTGTCCTTCCTTCCAATGACTGCTATCCTCCCGTGATTCTGCAGCCTTAGCTATTGGACCTCCTCGCCTTGCCCCCTCTGGAGAATGTCGACTTGTTCCCTTGGTTGGGATAATCATCCGATGTTTGGCTGCATCTTCCCTTCTTTCTGGACCGTAGTGTCGCTTCCCATACCTCATTCATCTTCGATCTGTTATCAAGAGTTTATAATCCGTTCCTGTTCGCCATGACCCCTCTTGTGCATACCTTGTCTCCACCTCTATTGACCCTTCTTTTTATCTGTTCCCTGTGTGTGTTTGATCCATATCCGAATTATGCCAGTCCTTCCAACAGATCCGGTCGTTACACAATTCAGCCACCTTCCCTTCCAGTAACCAGAACTTGATGAATTTATCCTTGATTTTTATCCGCTGATTTTCATCTTCCGGTAGTGATTGCTGTAACTTTCGCCACTTGCAGAGTACTTCAGCTTGCATTAGGGTTCTTGTCTCTATCCACACCTTTTCTCTTGAGTTGGCCAAGCCTTCAATAGTTCTGCTGCATCTTTCTTTCCATATAATCCACAGTGTTACCTTCCTACAGCGCCATTCTTACCGCCCCGCTTTTTTCACTGTCGCCAACTTACCCCACCCGACTTACCACACTCCAATCTCGGTTCCTCGCCACCAGAGGTAGCAGATAACCATGTGGCCACTCTCACGGCTCAAGGCGACGTCGGTTGCCACGGCTTCCCAGAAGTCAGGGAAACGAACAGAACACCGAGCGACTGTCCCACAGAGGATAAACCAGAATCAAGCAAAAACTCAACTCCTCGTTTATCAAAACACCGTACAAAAAACTACGCTTCCCCTCAATGCGTTTCGACTTGCGCGTAGTACAAGTCTCGTCAGGAGGGATCAGGTAGGAACATAAGTCCCTCCACTAACTTAATATGCAACAATCTTACTGCCTCCCCTTACTTTCCCTTTTCATCCGCCTTCTTTCTCACGAACCACCACAGCACTACGCCGTCGTCGTTCACCAGTACCCGACTGCACATTAATCTGGCTACCACCTTATCCCCACCCGCCATAGTCCACATGGAAAAGAAGAAGCACACAACTCACACACGCACACGGTCGAACAGTCAGAGTCGAGTGCACCAGCCAAAATGTCAAAGAGGGAGAAACAACGGGCGGCAGTACACAGATATACTTCCCGGATCTCCCGATCCCTGCCGACGCTCAAAAACATCCAGGCCCGGAGCGCACTACTACCAAGGCACAAAGTGAGTCCATGAGTCACTGACGGGCGCCCAAAAACGGTCCTGACATCAGGTCCCAGTCGGCGCCTCAAAATTGCCACAGGATCAGCCCGCACAAAATTGTGAACAGCACCAACTGTGCCCAACACCCCGTCCACAATCCTGACCACATTTCATCTTTGTGCCCCTATTCTACCCAGAGTTTTCCGCGAATTTTTCCTGACCGGGAGCCATAAACCAGCCCATGCAACAGATGTCGTACCAAAGATACCCAATTCTGCACCCCTGCGCAGGGAACCCCGAAAGCCACCTAATAATACACCCGGTCTCGTTGCCACAGGACAAGAGACCTACCCAACGCACCTGGTTCATACCCCAATGTCCCGGTGGGGGTATACCTCAGCGATCAAAGACAGCCAGATACCACCCACCACCTTGGCGAACCGAGCCAAGAAGAAGAAGAAGACGAAGAAGAAGAAAGGAGGGAGAAGAGATGGAGTGCGAGACGAAGAAGAAGAAGAAGATGTCATCCGCCTCGCCGTCTCACCTGCAGGTAGCCTCCGTACTGACTGTCGTCGTGGTCCCTGCGCAGGTCGCTGGCGTGGAGCGCAGCTATGGCGCCCAGGTAAGTACCGGGGTATGGCCTCCACCCCTCTGCCTACCTACACCTCTACCTCTACCTCCTAGCGTAGCGCTGTAGTGTCGCAGCACTGCTCCAGCAGCGTGTCGCCCAAGAAGTGAGCTACTCCAACTGTGTGTCTGCCCAGCCGTGGCCCAGGTACGAGTAGCGCTAGGCTGGCTGGTCTGCCTCTGTGTGCCTACGGTCCTGTGCCCAAAACGTGGGCCTACTGGGTTTGGGTCCCGACCAGACGTCCACACCCCGTACCTGGCCCAGGGCGGCCTGCCTCCTGGTGAACCTGGCCCAAGGCACGGCCTTGGGGACTGCAGGTCCGAAACGACACCTGAACAGACAAAAATAGGATCGCAAAAACATAAATAAGTAAAATAAATAAATAAATAAATGAATGTTGTCTAGAATCGAAACCTGCGGCCTAAGGGCCAGCCATGGGCCTCCAGGGTGCGCGTCCGAAGGGCGTGCAGCCTGGGGCCCCCCAGCAACCGTCGGGGCCCCGAAATGGGACCCGTGTGCAGGCTCAGCATGTAACAGTGTGTGACCATGAGCGAGTGCAGGCAGTAGCACAAGTATGAATAAATGCAAGAGAGTACAAGTGACTGATTCTACCGATTGATGGTGGATGGGAATCATTTCGTTGATTGACTGATCAATTGATTGGCCGATCTGTCACTCACCCTAAGCTCACGAGGTGCTCATGAATGGCGCGCCCCAGACGCATTTCTTCGATCCCATAGAGATTCTCAGCCGAGCTGCAGTGAACCTGTGACACGATCACCTCATCGGCATAGACATCCCCTGTGATGAATCGTGATCCATTTATCCCGAACGCCTCAAAGATATCAATCTGGCTTGGTGCAACTTTATGATCCCTCCATGGACGTATCTCAAAGTTTTCTTCATGCGGGGGATAATCTGAGGAACAATTGCACAGGCCACCAACCACTTGTCATTACCCACACCCATAAGCAACCTACCAACCAACCAATCAACAAACAAACAAACAAGGACCAAAACTTCTGTCAAGTCAAATTAAGTCCATGCTCGCTTAGACTTCGCTGTATGTGGGCAAATGCCTTACTTCCAGTTCCGTACAAAAAGCTATGGACTAACTGTAGCAAGTTTTCCCCAACAAACTTCCTTTGTGAGATCTGCATCCTCATCGTTCAGAATCAGCCAGAAGTTCTCAACGCCCTGAGCAGCACTACTGTCTTCCAGATCAAAGATGAAAGACAGACTGACCGCCTAAATCAGTCTCGGCATCCATGTTGAATGCCTCGGCCTACCGGACCAAATGGCTGGCTCTCCACCCGTGTTTGACTATTCTTCCTTTCGTGCGCAGTAGCAATACTGCTTGGCAAAAGGAGGCTTGCAAGGGCAGATGGTTTAAGCATACTGGATTTCGCTAGAGGTTGAATGCCACTTCACAACCGCTTGTTGGGATGTCAAATTCCAATGGTGGTAGGGTTGTCCTTGTGAGGTCATGTAGAGATGCAGGGTCTGTCCTTGCCAGACTAAAAGCCACCACTGTAACCCATGGGAAGAAATCAATGCCATCCACTCAGGCCTCTCAGCCATAATGGGGAGAAGCGTTGCGTGAGTAGAATATGTACCTTTGTGACTTGCCGGGGGAACAGGAACAAAACTGATGATCCTCAGAATGGACAAGGGACCAGAGCGGTGAGGCTCTGTTTTCTTTTTTTTTTAAATGAAGCGGAAGAAAAAAAACGTGACTGACCTCCCAACACATAATGATGCCCTCCTGTACACGTTGTTGTCTGTTACCTGATGCCCCTAGGTGACTTCACTAACTAAAAATTAAAACTCAACGAAAATCTGGTCTGAAAATTAGTTTTGCAGTGGCAGTGGGTCGTCATACTTCATACCCCTGCTTCTTTTGCCCATTGGAGGGGAGGGGACAGAAAACCAGAACAGAAAACGGCACTGTCCATCCTTGGGACACCCCATCCCTTCTGAACCTTTGAGCCCATTTCAGAACAGATTGCCTCTCCCACATCTCTTTTTTCCCTTTTTGGAGGGGCTAGCCGTAACTTTTATCCAATTAATTCCATCAGGATTCATGCTCATGGTCTGTTCACCGAGAGTTACATACATGTACCATGAAGCCATATTTTTCCGGGTGCCGTCCCCACCTCTACCACGGCAGTGACACTCCCATGCTCAGAAGGACACTATACCAGTAACGCTGAAGAGTAGGCTCAAGCACAGTCACCCAAGCAACACTCAGAAACAGGCACATCCTGCAGCAGTCTCTCTGGGATTAGCTATCCCCAGCAGCTACCACTCTGCAAGGAATCGAAGAAGCTATAATGTGCAGCAAAGCAGCTGGATGATGCACCCACTTAGGGTATTGTTGTAATGCAAGTTTCCTGTACGCATCCTTTGCTAATCATGGCCACATTCGACCAACAAAGTCCCGACCGGAGTATGCCGTTGGAACCGAACCGTTTGCTGCTTCTCCTGCTGTATTTGCCCCTCAGATCTTTGCTTGATTCTGCTAGTCACACTACATTGCAACGGAATGCAACAAGATGCATAATGCTTCGGTGATCTTCCACTCCAGGCACATGGGTTGGGAGCACTCACCAGTGGTTGCATGAATCATGATCTCTGGATCTGCAAGCAGCTCTTTGTGATAGAAAAACAACCGGGCAGCAGCATCTGCCAGCTCGTGATAGGGTCCACGCCAAACATGGTCTGTAACATAAACCTTCTTGTACGTAAACTTCTTGCGAGCCCGGAGGCGACGGATTTTCTTTGTAGATTTCCTTTGGCAATGACCTCGACAATCGAACACCACCTCATCGTTGTAAACTTCACCATTTTCAGTCACGTAGGCACCCCCAGTGAATATAACAATGTATGGCTTAAACGCTTGTGATTGCCGATAGAACTTCATGTAACCGCCACTCTTGTTCATTTCTTCTCGAAGGTTATTGGCCCAACTTATGCAATGCCTTTCAAATGGACACCAAGTACTGCACCAGATTTTGTCCGGTCGTTTTTCATCACATTGGTCTATCTCTCCCCACTTGTTCCTGTGCACCTCTGGAACGCTGCAAGACAAGCATGAGCTCGTCATTTCTTTGTACAAAGTCCCTGAAAGATCTTTCCATAGTGTCATTTTGTCCTTGGATAGAAATGTTTCTTCCTCTGGTGTCAGCTCGATGTACTGGATTCTGACGTTCAGCTTCTCCGTGAATCGGCTCACCTTTCGTCCAGCCTTGCCAGAACTTTCTCCTGACAGTGTGGCCACATAGTTGTGGAGCTGTTCGTGATCTTGGAGGAGTTTTCTCTGTTCACGTCAGACACAGGCAAACCAAAAACACACTTTCAAATCTGAGGGCTCCCCCAGCTTGAATGCGCATACATGAGAATATGTTGCCCATAAGGATGAACTCAAGACATGGAAAACTAATTTGTCAATCATGTAGAAGGTGCTCACAGCCGCGGGCACAACCCTTTTGTTTACACACTGACAAAATATGTTGTGTGTATGCAAAAGTGTGGCACAGTATCGCACGACCCTGATCATCGCCTTTGACAACTCGTCTACCCATGATCTCTTCACAAAGTGCATGAATCTAGAACGACAAACAACGAGAAAAAGCATGCCACAAACTCACAAGCACATTAGATGACCGCAGTGCAAGCCCATCACCGAGCATGAGACGAAGGACAAGAACGTCATCGGTACCTCACCTCTCTCATGTTATGTACATCATCACAGAAACGAAACCAAACATGAATCACAAAAATCTAGAATACTATCCTACTCATCAGCCCGCAAAAAAAAAATTCCAAGAAAAATCAGTCACATCCAAGGAAGATGGAGGCAGGCTCTGGCAGAGAGTATCAAGCATAGACGGCCCTCTCCCTTGGCATACATAGACAATATAGAAGGATGGAGAAAGAAAGATGAGAAAAGGATGAGAAGACACAGGTGAATACAAAATCTCTCTCTCTCTCTCTCTCTCTCTCTCTCTCTCTCTCTCTCTCTCTCTCTCTCTCTCTCTCTCTCTCTCATACATACATAACCAGTGCCCAATCCCAAAGAGGGAGAAGAATCTCTCTCTAATATCATGTCCACTCAGAAATGCTCTCACCTGAAGGCATCCTTTGTCAGGAGTGGTGCCCATTTGGGATTGTGTATACCCTGGGTCGTAGGTGGCAGGATATGGTCACAGGATTTAGAACCGGTCCACCTCAGTTGGTGCGGTGGGGTTTGGTTATCAAATGACAAATCAAGGGTGCATAATCAGACAGAAAAGCAGCAATAGCTGTCCTGACCTCTGGGGGGGTATGGATAACAGACTACACATAGAGGTACTATTGAAAATTGAAAAGGACCTTAGTAACCACACACTGAGCAATAACAGCTAAAAAACATCAAGGACAACGATGATGAAAATCAACAGAACAGCTGCACTAGGGGAGTATACTTGGGTATCTCAGGGGCTGTCATAGATTAGACCTTGGCCTAGGCCATTGGTCACTGCCCATGGTAACTCGAAAAGAACCGCTAGATATAAGGAATGACCCTGGTAGCGGATTTTTGGGGGCATCTAGGGGCCTGTCAAGAACGTGTTCAAACCAAGCGTCCAAAGTAGCCACAAGACAGGGCTCATTCGAACATGCTTCATCCAGGACCGAGTGAGATATCCTTCTCAGCACTGGTGCTTGCGACCGCTGTCCAGTCACAGACACCACTGCTAAGCAGGACATCCCATTTGACGGTATAGGCCATACAGGGGTGATTGTTCTGAGAGGTAGACACTGAGGTAGAACTGAGGGAGTGGAGGTGCGCCAGGGAGAATTAACGAAAAAGGCAGGTGGGATTTGGTGAAGAGGAAGATACAATTAAAAAAAAAGAAAAATAATTGAAGGGGTTGTCGGACGGGGAGACTCCTCAGATGCATGGACCAGGAATGGACATGACATTGGAAAAACTGGATAAGGAATTAAAATATCTAGGGATCCTGGTGACAAAAGCTGGATCGGCACCACAGATGGCTCAAAACCTGCTGACCAACCAGATTAACAGGATGGGATGTTGGGGTTCCCTTTTACCTCACTATTGGGCAGGGCCCAGACCATTTGGAAGACGTGCTACATAGCTTCAATCTGGACCATACTAGACCATACCATTTCAGAGCTAAACCGCAGAGCGAGAGCCTACCTTTGGTTGGGGGGGGGCCGAACAAGACCAAGTACATTCCAAAGATTGCCTGGCAATACATCACAAGGAAACCGTCAAAAGGAGGCCTAGGAATTGACCCGAGACAGGAAACCAAAGACCTTCAGATCAAGTGGGTGATCAAGTTACTGACCCAGCCAAGGCCAGCATGGTGCAATGACTTGCTGATTTCTGCTGCCGAGATTGACTGTGAGGCTGTATACTAACCTGTAGGGTTAGTTTTGTAATTTTGTTTGGCTGAGGGCTAACCGAGAGATCCGCCTGTGTGGAAATTCGTGAGGGACAGATCTGTAATTTCAGAAAAATACAGACCTGGTACTAACCGAGTTCCTACAGCTACCCTAGCTGCCTATAGCAGGCCCGGGCTACCCAAGGACAGACAGGCCCTAAGCGGCCTATACTGCGATACGGTCCTATAGCCTATAGCCGGGTCCGATAGAGGCCGAGAGGCCGAAACAGCAGCGGTACCGGTAGGTCCAGTCAGTCCGGTCTAGGTCTAGGCTAGAGTATAGAGTCTATAAGTCCTGGAGGAAAATCGATTCAGGACTTTTGGATTTTCATTTTCGCATGCAGCGTTTTGCGGCCAACCAAGTGAGCAGCGCTGAAGACCTACAGTGGCACCTGAGGTTTCAGCAGCCGTGAAGCAGCCATAGCCGCCTACCTGAGACAGCCATAGCTGGGGCTGCACTCAGCGCATCTATCCCTGGGGGATATCTGCGTTGGCAGGACTATATCGGGGCTCTTCACTGAGTACATGTGGGTACTAGTGCTGCGGTAGCAGCCAGGCAGCCATAGCTGCCTTCTTCATCGTCAGAGTGACTCATCGGCACTGGAAACTACTTCGCTGTTCATGATCTACATCTGGGTGTATGGCGCTGGCCTCTGGAAGGATGTTTCTGTGCAGCGCTAGACTCTGAGGGTGTAGTAGTGAGTAGAGTGCGTGGTACTTGAGTGGCGAGATACTGGGTTGAACTCTGTAACGATAATTGAGGTTAACTGTGTTGAGTTGGCTCATCATCTGGGTTACTGTCATCCTGTGATTGGTTGTTGGGAGTTTATCAGAGAGAGAGAACACTGTGTGTATTCTCCCCATCTGTGCATGGTTGCTATTCCGCTGTTTATCTCTGGTCTGTGTGCAGGTGGACTCTGTCTCTTCCTCCCCTTTCTCTCATGCATGTATGGGCGTGTGTGAGTGAGTCTGAGTGTGAGTGGCAATCGAATTGTCAAACAACCAAGTTCATAACAGTTGGTATCGGAGCGGAGATTGGACTTGGAGTCCACAGGGTTGAGCGCAACAGGGGCACCTTCTTCATCTGGCTCTAACTGGCGAGAAGGTCCATGGCGGTTCTTCATCTCCAGTGACTATCCAGCAGGGAAGAAGGGATACAAGCGGTGATTACAGGAGTATCAGTTGCGATTGATCAGGCACCCTGAGCCTGTCTGAGTGCCTGACAGGAAGTGGCGAGGATAGGGTTATTTCGCCATCCACCCTCCTGACCTCAGTTGATGACTGGGTCTAGGGTGGCGAAATTTACCCTAATCCAGTGAGTACTGGGTTGCGGACTCAATCCCAGCATTGCGCTGAGGGAGGATTGATCGCAGGATCACCTCCTGCTAATTTAACCCTACTCAGGGCTAAATTTAGCACCAACGGCTCATACCTGCAGTGGCGAGATACCTTCAGGAGAGTATTCTCTCGCCACTGGGCCAGATTCAGTGAATCTGAGGGTGTGGGGTGAATCGCCACATCATACTGGGCATGATCATCAAGTTTCAGGAGATTCTTTATGTGGGAAGCTCTGGAAGACTGTCTGCAAGTACTGGCGAGACCAGGGTTGGCAGCCATAGCCAAAACTTCATCATCCACTGAGGGTTATACTTCAAGTGAGTGCGTTCCATATGAATCCCTGAGTAGCGATTAGTATAGCATCAGTAGAAGTAGGATTAAGGGTCTGTCTGTCAGTAGTGTAACAATCGTGAAATTGTCAGAATGAAAGACAGCCATATCCATCTTCTTCCTCCCTACCCTGACTCGTATCTCTCCATCTATGGACCTGTTCTGACTCAAAATTGTTCTGGGACTGCCTGACAGTATTGCGCTGCCTCCTGTATGTTCATTCTCTGAATTCTGTGCTGGAAAAGTAGTAATACTATGGATTTGAGTTTTGCGCTGGGTCTATTTATAGTCTAGGCTACCTAGGGTCAGTCATAACTCAAAATCTGACCGTCAGAATTCGAGTCTGTCAGTCTGGGGTAAATCACAATTCTATTTTTAGCATCCCTGCTAAAGCGCTAGTCCAGAAACATCGTATTTGAGTAATTACAGTGCAATCCTGAAATTCGCCTGGATGTATTTCTGTTGATGTCAACAGTGGCAAAATTTGAGTTTGGGGCTGTCAGGGGCTAGTTTATCAAATCGCTGCTACTTGTAATCTTGTTTCAGTTAATTCTTGCCTGTTTCTTTCAATACTACTAATTCTTTCTGCTTTCTGATGGGCTCTGGAATGTTAGTGACCCCTGGAATGCTGTGAATGTGCATCTTGCAACTACAGTGAAAGTTCAGTGTCAGGTATAGGAAATCGTTGGTGCATGATTTTACTGGACATTCAGTCAACCTGACTACTGACCCCAGTGGCCCTATTCCAACCCTAACCGCTTGTGCCCACTGACCCACATTACTCTGTGAATTGACAGTGCAGCGAATTTTGAGAGTCTGTGTGTACTGAAAATCGCTGCACCCTCTGCTGTTTCATTTGTTTGTTGTGTTGTTTGGTGGGGGAAGATGTCTGCCGCCTCTGACGCAGGTGCAGGGAACGTGGAAGTGGTGGTTAAGGCTGAAGAACAGCCTTCAGCCTCAACTCCTCCTCCCCCTCCCCTGACCCCTGCGCAGCGACGCAAGAGAGAGATTCAGGAAAAACTGCGAGAGCAACAGGCGTTGCTCGCAGAAGCAGAGAGGCAAGAGGCTGCACAGCTGGAAGCTGCAACAGATGCTTCCAGAAAAGAGCACCTGCTGCAGCAGGCTCAAAAGACTTTTGCGGATGCTAGAGTGGCCCAATGTACCAGGGACCTGGCTGAGCTGGTATTGTTACAAGACAAGC